AGAGAGAAGTGAAAATTAAAGAACACTGATTTCAGAATAAGAGTATTTACACAAGTCTGTGGTTTAGAATTACTGCTTTGAATGTTTTCATAATGCCTGTTTAGTTTTGTGTGCCCATTTCAGGTGTTTTGGGTAGGAGTCTTTTGTCCCTAAATATCTAATGATGAAAGTTTAGTTCCCAATATGCCAGTTATTTAATGACATTAATCCTGAATACCTATAGCACTTCCAGAAACAGTAGGGAAGAATTTATCCAATACCTTTGTTGGAACACAACCCAGGAGATGTCCACCCAAGTGCAATAACTCAACATTTCTTGGAATAATTAAATGAAAATACTGCCTTTTTTCTTGGTGGCATTAAAGACTACCAGGAGTAACACGACTCTTCTTCATGATGATTAATTTTATTACTCCTTACCACAGATCCAGATTGATGGGCACTCAACAATCATGGCACATTTCTTCAGGGTTACATGTTGGTGACAGAAAACACACACAAAACATCATTTTCTATTTCAAACAAAACATAATCCTATTTGCCCTTTCTCTTACTCATAAAAGAACAAAAATCAGTGCAAAGAAAGCCTTCACAAAAGAAAAAAATTCTCCTTTCACTCCTTGCTGTAGGAAGAGAAGATACAGAAACTGAGCCATGGTAAGGATGTGACTTCATCACCTTTGAAGAGAGGTGCAGATGTCAGATTTGTGAAACTTCAGAGCTATAACTGCATAATACAAAGATTGGATCAAATATTAATCCAGCCCATAGTTCCTGCCTCTGGCAGTGACCAATAATGTATATTTATGGAAAATGATAGTACTAGGAGAATGAAAACTGTCTGAACATGCACATATTCATTGAATAATAAATACCAGTAAGAGAAAAAAAGATCAAACCTTGAAGGATTGATAAGTCCCAACTTAGGTGCTTGCACAACCATGGAAATTGGCATCCTGCTGCTCAAAGAATGCCAAAAAAACTCCTCCAGGGTGCAAATCACCTACTGGATTCCCACACCATACCCCAGTAAGAAACTTAAAATAGTGCAGAAATTGCAGTCTGGGTGGTTCAGTCATCATCCAGAGGAGAATGAGAATACAAGGCTGCTGAATTACAGTTCCCAGGAGATCCTGTATCACTGCTTTGATGCCAAAATGGTAAAACATCAGCCCTGGGGAATTTTTGTGCATTTTCCACACAAAGATCAAAATGTGTTCCATCTGGGGCTGTGCAGCAGATCAGACATTAATCTATTATTTTGCATCTCACCTCAATGGGGAGTTGCTGCCAGAGGGCTTGAACAATGTTGTGTTACCCGAAGTATTTCAGACTGGAACAGGCTCAGGTTGTGGGGAGTCTCAGGAGGATGGAATTCATGTTGAGCTCCTAACTGAGCTCACGTGGAAACGTGGGGTCTAATCTTCCAAAATGTCCATCAGTACATCTGATGTGAGCAGGGGAAGATGAAAGGCAAATGTCAATTCATTGTTTTTAAGAAATCTCTTTGGTATTCATCATCTTCTTACATGCAGGGCTTTCCTCCAGACATGAGGAGGAAGCTGGACACTTCTAGCCCAAGATCTCTCCAGCAGCTCTTTCTGAGAGCTATGCAGATAATCAGAAGTTTGCAACAGATTTTTCAGAAATAATTACGTGTGGGATTCCATATGGGGTGGGCCAGCTTGTTTGTTCAATGAAAGAAATGTTACCAAAGTCCTTCTGCCAATGCATTAAATATTTAGTGTCTTCTGCTTAGCTCCTCTGTATCAACAATTTAGCTTCCCATTCTCTATTCATATAACAGCTTAGCTGGATTAAGAGAATTTAACTGACATGTAAGGCAAACACAACTGTATCAAATAGATTTCTTGGCCACTTTGACACATATGCTCAAAACCTACAGGAATACAAAGCCTGAAAATATTTGTAAGAAACTCTTTTTATCTATATATGAAAAATACCCCAAGCATTAATATTTCACACTACAAAATGAATATAACAAATATTAAATTTATTACTTAACCATTTCTTCTGAATGGAGGATTATGAAAAGTTTATAACCATTCATTGATGAAGGAAGTTTCAAAGTATTTTGCAAACAAATATTATCCAAAATGACAATATGTCCTAATGCTGTTTAGTTTTCAACATACATGAAAATGTTTTGCCCAAATGCATATTCAGGGCAGATATATGTGCACTGCTTTCTGGGGACAGATCTGTGGGGTCTGATTATTACCACTGAGTTTGATGGAATTTACATAATTATGCCTCTTCATCGTTTCTTTTTTTACCTTTACATGTTGAAAATTAAATTAAGCTTTGTGACATTTTCATTTCTCTTTCTTTCTATTCCAAAGGTTTTTTTTTTCCTTTTTTTCAAGCATTTTCTGAAAATGACTGAGTATTACTGGCAAAGCAACAATATTTGCATCCTACTTCCATTGTCTCTTTGGAAATAGTTCCTCTTTTCTTTATCCCCATGGCAGAACAGTAATTTAGATCATGGAAGTCATAGCAGTGATATTTTCCCCTTCCAAAGTACTCCAGCTTAAAAATGCTTTCAGATAAGATTGAGATCAAATAGAGTGTTTGGTAGAATGTTTTCATGAGAAACTTTACATGGGGAATATTCTCCTCATCTGCAAAGTGCCACTGTGCTGACAATGCTTTGGAAACACTTAAAGCCATCTCAAAACCCGGGTGTTTTGGTTTTCGAGCTTATCTTTCATGACCAGCATGCTGCATTACTTTGAAAGTATCCAGATTTCTGGGAACATGGAGAGGCTTTTAGGACTCCTTGGCGTGGCTGAAGGTTTGAAAGATTCTTCACTTCCTCCAGTGTCAGCACAGCCTCCGAGTGTTGGTGAGAGATGCCCCATTGTCACTTTGCAGCTTGACTCCTTGGGAAATCTTCCTTGTCCCAACTCAGACCATTAAATTCTGATTCTCAGCTCACTGGCTTTCCTCAGAAAAGAAATAATTTCTTACTTTAAGAAATAATTCAGACCAGCAGCAGTGGGTCTGCACTAAAGAAGGGCAGTTTTTAAACACCGTGTATCCGTACTATAGACAACTTAAGTTTTTGGATTAATACTGGACCTAACCCAGTGGTGTGGTCTTATTGCACACTTACAGCTTGATTGGCCTGGGTGAACCCCAATCTTCTTCTAATTCTTTCTAAATGGAGCGGGTTTGGTGTCTGCCAAGCTCTGTGACAGAAAACAAATTTCAACACATGAGAATTACTGTGAGATGCTTCTCAGCACCTCTGATTCAAACTAAGTGATCTTTCTCCTCCTGATCCAAACTAAAACTCTCATGTGAGAGTGATGACATCAAACCTTCCCTCTACTCTCTACACAAATATTTTGCTAAATACCAAGCTGTTCAAGAGATTTATGGCATTGTCTCTGAGGTGCTTTATAGCCCAAATCCAGGCTGGCTACCTATCTATATGTGTCACCTGGAAGTTATTACATGATATTCAAGTCTGAACAACCAGTCATGGTTGTTGAATCCAAAGATTTGTTTATGGGCAGAGAGGAAGCATATCTTACCTAAAGATTAGGTAAAACCAAGAATTTGCTGGTGTAATTTACATCTAACTTACAGTCTAATAATTCACAGTCTAATTCAGAATCATCACAAGTCCAGTTATAAAGAAGATAATAATGCAGGTGAAGTGCTTATGTACAGAGAAAGTAACAAGAATAAAGTGATAGAAAATCTCCAGCTGGAAGGGACCCACAAGAATCACAGAGTTCATTCCCTGCACCTCACAAAACTTCCTAAAACTAAACCCTGTGACTGAGAGCATCATCCAGGAGCTCCTTAGTGCCATAAGCACTTTCCTGGGGAGTCTGTTCCAGTAACTGACCATCCTTTCAGTGAAGAACCTTTCCTTAATGTCCAATTTGAACTTCCCCAGTGCTGCTTCTTCTTCTACAATTCCATGAGTCCTCTTGGTCACCAGTGAGAGGAGAGCAGCATCTTCCCCTCCACTGCCCCACTTGGGGAAGGCGTAGACTGAGATTCTCCAAGCTGAACAACTTAGTTAAACCATATAATTAAAATTGTTAATCCTTACACTTCGTAACATCCACTCTTTTTCCTGGCACTATGCTGACCCTTCCACAGCTCCTGTGGAGCAATGTCAATAACTCTGCAGGCAGTAACTCTCAACCTGGAACAGCAGACATCTCTATTTCAAGAGTTAATCTCAAAACAGAAGAGACAACCCTTGCTAGAGAAATTGGCAAGACAAAGTAATTGCATTTTCAGGGAAGCAGAGTCCAGCACAACTCTCTCCTGTGATGTGGAGGACAGGTTTACAAAAGTAGAGCAATTGTAAAAAAATTAGATCAGTCACCCAGTAGGTCAAAGGAAGTTTTATCTATCAAAAGATAGTTTTATCTATCTCTTTTTGAAACAGAGTACTGCAAACAGGTAAAGCAAAAATAAACTCATAATAAAGTGAAACACTGTCATGGCTGTGGTTTTCTTGAGACCTTCAGGATGAGACCAACCATCACATGACAAATGTGAACTGTAGCAAGTAATGCACGGCTGGGTGACTAAATGTCTCTTTGAGAGAGGTATAAATTATTCAGGCACAGGATTCTCTGGGTGTATGTTCATGCATGAGAGAAGCATGATAAACAGTCCTATTTCATGCTTAATAAAGTGTCTCACTATCACCTTATAGCCAAAAAGTACATTCACACTGGTGAGTACCCCGTGTGTCAGATTATGAGGAGGCATTTATTGAGCAGTGTAAAAATTTCTGTTATTTCTGTTTTATTTATTTTCTACTTCACTTCGTGAGGAAGAGACAGAAGAGCAAACAGGTCAATTTTGTTGAGCAATGGGTATAGAGGAGGCAAAAACAGAGTTTTCATCAGGACAGATACACCACTTTGGATTTCAAAAGGTTAAGAAGGAAAAGCAAAGAGCAGATGCAGGAGTTTACAGTCCCCAGGGCAGCAACAAAAATAAGAGTCATACAGAAGTCAGATGGTGTTTGAAGGTTTTTCTTTCATCATTAGGATGAGCTCAAATTATATTTTTCATGTTATGTTTTAGATTTTAATTTTGGTCTGACACAGGGAAGGAGCACTTTACAAAATTTTGAACAGATTGCAGAAAAGGAAACAGGCTGAGATCTCTGCCTGAAAAAAAAAAAAATCAAAATAAAGGGACTTTAGAGAAAAGTAAAAGAAAAGCAATTAGAAAAAAACCAGAGTTTATCTCTGAGAAAAAATGAAATTAGTACTTCTCACCTCAGGATATAGATTTACATGCACTTGTAAGAAACTATTCACATTCCAAGATCTGGCAACTATTCATGTTCTCATATTCCAGCAGTAGCTTAACTGCTTAGCAAGATCAAAACCAGAGCATGTGTAACAGATTAATCATTCAAAATACTCAGTTGAGAGAGGAATATACCAGAGACAGACACAAATTATTTTGGCTATATTAAAAAAAAGTCATGCATTAGAAATAGAAATAGAAAGGGAAACAGAGATAGGAATCTGGAATGGAGAAAATGCCACCTAAATTTTGAGAATTGTTCCTGATAGGGATCTGAAGACTATAAAGCATCTTCACTGGAGAATCAGTGGCAGTGTAACCACCTGGGAACCTGAAACAGGAGGGGACCAGCTCCAAGGAGCACAGGGAGGGGACAGCCTGACCTAAAGGGTATTTTCTGCCTAGTGCAACCAGAACCCTACATAATAGACTTGCCAGCTTCTCAAAAACAAAGCATGAGCTGAATCAACCTCAAAATGTACCAATAATAGGGATGAAAAATGCTGAAACCCCATTTCAAGGTGATATGAGTAGGATTGTCAAAACAGGATGAATGCTGGCAGCAGGGTCCATGGACTGAAATACAGCCCATGAAATGAGAGGCTGGACTGCACAGCAGTGCCATTCTTCTCTCATCTTGATTTGGACATCAGGAATAGACATATTTATCATGTTCAGTACAAAAAGAAATGCACTGTTCAGTGTTTTCCAAAACCTACAATTTAAATTCATTCAGATGTGGGGATGACCTAAAGAGGAGGAAAAAAAGAACCAAACAGTTATACTTCAATTTCTGTCACAAAACTTTTGTTGCCTTTGCTGACAGAGGGAGAAATATGGTTTCTGTTCATCCTGTATTTCCAGGTTTTATCTGAAATAGAAACTAAAGACTGAGAGAACAATTCTGGTCATCCTAAATGTACCTGTCTGCTTTATCAATTGAACTTGTCTCTCTAAATATTTTACAAGGCATAACTTTTTTCTTTAATTTCTCTTCATCTTTCTCTTTACTTCATTATTTTTCTACTGGGAAAAAATGCCAGATTTGTTAGAAGTCATTACTTTCCCCGTGGGTCACCTCTAAGCTTTTTTTATCATGTACTTTTCCCTTATTCTGACAGAATATGAGACATTATCAGATATGCCCTCTGCTTATTGAGTTCTGCCTGGAACTGTAATTGTAATATACATGAGCTAGTACTTCATGCTTACATTGTGCCTCATATTCAAAGATCTCATAGTAATTCAGAACGAGGTATAAAGTATTAATGACCTGTATAAAAGGAGGGGAAATATAAAATGAAGAGAAGAGTGGAAAAGGAAGTAAATTTACAACCATATTTTATTTTGGTTTTTCAGAAAGTAGACAGTATTTCAGTTCAGTGGAAATGAAAATAAAAAGTATGGCTTTGTTGTGAATGAAAAAAAAAGTAATTTTAAACTTGAAGGACTTAAAAACAAAAAATTTGAGATGCTACCCGTTTGAAAACATACAGCCATTTGTATTTGTACATATCATTCAAATCATTCACAAAAGAATATTGTCAGACAGTGTTATTCTTCAATTTACAGAGATTTTGAAAACTGGATGTGTCTGAGAATGCATTAAGGCACACATAAAATTTTAGGAAAAGGTCAAAGAAAGAAAGTAGGAGTCCTGAATACAAAAATCAGTCTTCATCCACACTACATGCAGGCTGAGACAGACATTCTCTGGTGCAGCCCCAAGAGGTAATTCTAGTCTAGAGCAAAACTTGGAAACTGGCTCTTGGAATTTCTTACTTACAGACCATTACCTGGTATCTCCTTTGAAAAAAAAAAGCACTTAAATATCTACTTTGAATGAAAAATAAAGCAAAATTTTTGACTTATTAATGTCAACTCTTAAAATGTCTCTAGAAGTCCTTAAGTAGAAAGAATACTACATTTACAAAGCATTGTAATGGTTTCATTACTGTCTTCACGTAATATTCTGGGTATTGATAACAGTCCATCAATATTTTTGTCACCATGTAGGAGTTTCCCTTGATTTGGACTTGAAATTTAAGGTGAACATTGCTAATATTTTTCAATGTAAAGGCATGTTGACTTCAAGAGCCATCAATTGTTAAACTGTGGCTTTTTTTACAAACTGTTACCACAGAGATGAAAATGTTTAGCACCACACAGGTATTATTGAAGCGATTTTGACAGCATTTCACACCTCATTTGCTGCCAAAGTTATTAGATTTTAGTCAATGATCAAAGAGTCAGTTGGCTCTAAAGGGCTCCTTTAAAGCACTGAGGCATGAAATGAGAACAATTTAGAAATTATCTTGATCTTTACTTCATCTTGTGTTCAAAGTAGAGATGTCCATCTCTTCTAGCTACCTCCCTACTTATTTAAAAGGAAACACTTAAGGTTAATATAAGCCTTGAGATGGTGCCATTTTTATGTGACTTGTGGCAGTGGAATTATTTGGACAGGTAACTTTCACAAAGCAACTGTTTGGGTGCAGATTGGCTGCTATAATTTCCAGTGACAAAAGCCACAGCCAATCTGGAATGAAGGCTGATGAGCAGAAAGTGCCTTTCCCAAGGATGAAATCATCAAAACTCACAGAACTTGCAAAAACAGTGAAAGCAGAGTTCAAGGAGACACATCCTGTTGATTATCCTGTTAACTCCATGACCCGATGTACACATGACAAATCCTCTCACCTCTTTTACTCCTGTTTGAAGTTACTATTGTGTTTTCATAGCTCATAATGCTACAAGTATTTAAAATTCTGCTTCCAGACAAAACACTTTCAAGAGATTTACATCAGATAGGCAACCACTAAACTCTGTCCTTAAGCATCATATTTACATGTTATTTGAAGGCTTCCAGAGATGGCAATTCCACCAGCTCCCTGGGCAACCTTTCCCAGTCCTTGACCACCTTTTCAATGAAAACTTTTCCATTTTCATTTCCTCTCAGCCTGTAATTTGATACCAGGGAAAAGAGAAGGACACACCTGGCTGCACCCTTTTTTCAGGGAGTTGTGGAGAGTGAGAAGGTTCTCCCTGAGCCTTTTTTTCCTCCAGACTGAGCCCCTCCCAGCTGCCTCAGCTGCTCCTCATCAGACATATGCTCCAAACCTTTCCCCAGCTCTGTTGCTATTCTCTGGACACCTCAAAGGCTTTTTGGTGGTGAGGGACCCAAAACTGAGCCCAGGATTTGGGATGTGGCCTCCCCAGTGCCCAGTCAGGGGGACAATCACTGCCCTGGCCCTGCTGACCACTATTGTTGGCACAGGACGGAGGTGAAAGTGTCACAATTCTTTGCTACCTGATCCTTCTCTGGAAGATTCACTGTTTGTATTCGTGGTGAGGACCTACAGCTGCATCAGTCTGGCTCCAACAAATCAAGCAAGACAAGTTTGTTTGAGATCTACTCCATTAGGCCTCCAGTTTTCTTGCCTGTCTCCCTATTTTATATGTCCTGGAGGAATTCCTACAACTCAGGGCACTTTTTGTCAGCAGTGACAAACTCCCCACTCGAGTCACTTAGCCTATGAGAAGTTGTCTCAACACCCGACTTGGTTCCATGAATTTGTTACCTAAAAAATAGAGATTTAAAGTTGCTAAAAGCAATCAGGGTACCCCATTTATCTTCTTTGTAACACTGATTTGGCATTTAAGGATACTCTTGTTCACATACAATCCCAAGCCACTTTCTAGGAAATGGATTTCCATGCCTGATAGTTTACTGATGGCAAAGCATCTTTGATTTAGTCCATAAAAAATTCCCAGTTGAACTAATAGTTCTCTTCCTTGGAACCAAGAAACCATTGAAAAAGCATGGGTTTCATTGTAAAAAAAACCCCAAAATAAATCCCTTTTTTCACTCTTACAGAGTTGCAGGAAGCTCTTTAGTTAAATCAATTGCCGGTAATTAGAGCACTATTTCTAACTGTGCCTAAATCATATTTGATTGGGGCTATTGTGTTAGCTCTTCTCTTACCATGAACTGTATTTCATTGCATCTGAATTATTCTGAGTGATCCTCTAATCCCCTCACTTTCCTTGGATTCAAAGATGAATCTTTGCTTTCCACTACTGTGTTATCAAAACCTCCTCTCCAGACTAATGCGCTAGCAAGAGTAATTTTTCATTGAATGTTAGACCTGACAAAGAATTATTATTCTAATGTATTGGGGAGATTAGCTCATTTTCACTCTCTTTCTGCCTTCCCATTCATCACTCTCCTGCTGTTGGGACTTCCAAAATGATTTATTTAGGCAGAAAACTTAAGTATTGTGGAGGAGAGCTGAAAATACACAAATGGCACAGGAAATGCTGATCCTTTCCATTCCACTCCACTAAACGTGACACATGAATGTGTCTCTTCCTTTTCTAATTTCTGTAAACTAGGAACCTTAGAGAAGTCTCTCTTCTTATTTCTTCTTATCTTTACTGGGAGCATTTACATAATACGTATAAAATAGGTCCTCTCTTCTCTAACAGGTCAATTAAACCCATCTTTTTACTGCCATTTGTTATTTGCATCAGCCTGAATTGTTGATAACTCACTCTCCTCTAATCACATTTCAGTTTCTTTAATGCTGTCACTGGGCTCAAAATATGACCTTGTTTATCTCATGAATCATCTGGACAACAATGCCATGAAGACATGAAAACCATAAATCTAATTAATGGATTTATGATAACTTAGAATGGCTCACAGAGATCCCTGTGTTGTATTTAGTTGTTCTGGTCAGTGATACTATGGAATTCTCAGTTGATGAGGAGCTCATGATCAGAACCTTTCTCTTGATGTCAGATGGAAAAAAAGTCATTCAGGATGATCCAGAAGGATCAGGACACCATCCATGGAGACCCAAACAAGCTGGAGAAATGGGCTCATGGAACTCTCATGAGGTTTAACAAGACCAGGTGCTGGTTCTGTACCTGGGTCAGGGAAACCCCCGGTGTCAATCCAGGATAAGGGGATTGTTGCCTGATATCAAGGGAACAAGTCTTGCTACACTGATAAAAGAGTAAAATAAAAAGCAGACCTTTATTTTAAAGCTTGTCCAGTGGTCACGGGCACATCCAGTATTGGATTTCTACAATTTTATAAGTTAAAAAAAAACCAAAAAATAGCATATTTAACACCTTGTCTAATTAGAGGAGCAGTTGGTTAGGCAATTTTTCCCTGAGTACTGCCCCACTGGAGTTAGTCCAGGGCTTATTGGCCCCATTTTCTTGTTACGTCTTCTCAGATTCTGATTGGAAAACAAAATGTACTCCTTCTGCATTCTCTTCTTGAAAAATAAGACTAAACAGTATTTCAGGAATATATTAGAAGGTTTACTTATTGTTCTAAAATTTAAGAGAAAGATAGGAAAAATATTAGGAGTTACATAACTGTGTAATAGTATTCTACAAGCTATGAATATATGCAAAATATATAAAAAGCAAAACTCTTTAGGCATCAGGATAAGCAGATCAAGAGCAGCCTTGGGGAGAAGGACTTGGTGGTGCTGGAGGAGGAGAGGCTGGACAGGAGCTGTCAGTGTCCAGAAAGGCCCTGTGTCCTGGGCTGCATCCAAAGCAGGATGGGCAGCAGGACAAGGAAGGGGATCCTGCCCCTCTGCTCTGCTCTGCTCAGGTGAGATCTCACCTGCAGAGCTGCCTCCAGCCCCGGGGTCCCAGCACAGAAAGGATGTGGAGCTGCTGGAGTGAATCCAGAGGAGGCATCAGGACGATCAAAGAGATGGAGCAGCTCTCTTATGAGGAAACACTGAGAGAATTGGAATTTTTCAGCCTGGAGAAGATTTGTGGTGTCATAATTGCGTCCTTCCCATGCCCGAAGGAAGCCTACAGGAAGTAGGGAGAAAGATTATTTACAAGAGCCTGGAGTGACAGGACAAGGTAGAATAGCTTCAAACTGGGAGGGAGTAGGTTTAGATTAGATATTAGGAAGAAATTCTTTTCTGTGAGGGTTGTGAGACCCTGGCACAGCTTATCCAGATAAGCTGTGGCTGCTGCATCCTGGAGGTGTTCAAGGCCAGTCCAGAAGAAGTTCTGATGAACCTAGTCTAGTGGAAGGTGTCCTTGACCATGGCAGGGGGCTGGAACTGAAGGATCTTTAAGGTCCCTTCCAACACAAACTATTCTGTGGGTCTATGATGGAGGAGTGTAAGGAAAAGAAAGGGGAAAGGTTGATGTAAGATCATCTAAATGCACAAAACAGACAATAGGAAGAGAACATGAGACAAACACAAGAAGAATGAGGCAGGCTGAACAGCAAAGATTTTGGGAGGTTGCAAGTAAATCAGTAAAGGAGCCCAGAAATATCTTAAGATTCAGTGCAATTTGATCAATGAACGAGATTGAAATTGTCAGCAATTGTTCCAAAAGGGCTTATTTAAGGAAAGAACACTGGCAAAAATCTAGCAAATCTTTCATACAATATGTGGACCTTAGAATTTTGTCATGTGCAGAAAGGGAGCACAGTTTATGTACAGATAAAGTAATTTCTTGTTATGTATCCATTGATAGTCTAAATTAAATACTATTCCTCTAATGAATACATTTTATTAGTTTACAACATAAGTGTCTGTCTCAGGATGTCAGCTTGTCCAGTCCTGCTCTCGTGGGCAGGATCTGTGCTACTTAGGCTTCAACTGACCCAGTGTGGATGATGTCTCTGTAAGGTGACCCAAATCATATCCTAAACTGCATTTACTCTGTTAGTTAGACTCTTACTGACTGCAAAGGGAGTCCATGATGACCTGTTCAGGTCTGTGCTATCAATGCCTTCATTGAACCAGGCAAATCCCAGCCCTGAAGTAACAGCTGAATCCCACTCAGTCTTGTACTATAGTTTCACCATCATCATCTTGAGAATTTCTGATATTTTTTACCTCACACAGTAGCTGTGCCACCTTTACCTGCACAAACTTTCTCACATCCTCCAGTTTTGGAATAGGCTGTAAGTGTCATCTTTCTGCTACTCAAGTGATTCTTATTTTCTTCCAAAAGTGCTATCTGCCCTGCCTCCTGCTCCAGTGGTTTAGGTGCAGTGTTGTCATCTTTCATTACAGTGTTTGTGTAGGAGAGGAAAAGGTATTCATAAATTAATTGTGAGGAAGACTCCTCTAGAACAACTCTCTACTGCTATTTTTTCAATTTTACTCTCCATGACTAACTCTGGTCATCATAACCTGCACTAGGTGGAAGATCTTGACAAAAGAATCCATAATCAGGATGTTATTAACTCCATATTTCTCTTCTTGAGGCACAGACTGGCTTGGAGGAATCTCTAAAAGACTGACTAGATAAACCCAGATAAGTGTAGTGTAAATCCAAAGTTTCTCATATTTTGAGGATAGCCTAGTTCACCTCCACAGGTTCTTTTCAACCTAACTAGAATAAAGGATGAAATTCCATATCTCCAAGATATGGAGAAGAAGAGGAGAAAACCCTATAGATTAAGGTTAGACCTTACAGAATCTGGTAATTTAAGAGTTACAGAGAAATTTTTCATGAGCAGAAATGTTCCTTATACCTCAGCAAGAACCATTTTGGGATTCATACATTGGCTTCTGCATTCAGTATTAGTCTGCCATTAGTTTTCTTCCACAGGTCTCTCCATCACCATCAGAGTGCAGAAAACTTTCCCAAATATTTTCCATAGAGCAAGAAGAGAGGATTTCTTTAAGACATTCCAGTATCCAGAAGAATCATTAAGAGGAAAATCTCTTTCATTGAATATTTACAGCTTGTAAGAAGTTAGCATAAAGCTGGGCACTCAGCACAAAAGGAGGGTGTAGGGGCTGTTGTTTACACACTTTTCTCTTCTGCTGAGACACCAACACAGAATAAAGGTGAGCTCCTGTGTTCACTAGATGGTGCTCCAACATTCAGATCCAGGGTTTCTGGGTCTTCCTAGGACATTGAATTCTCTTCTTCACCAGGCTGTCTCTGTGCCTGTCATTGTTTGTGATCACAAAGTTCCCATGGGCTGGACATGCTCATTCTTTACCAGCAGCACCCATGGCACACCAGAGGAGTCCTCTGCAAAGATGCATTATCAATTTCTCTCAGTTTATCCAGTTTAGTTGAGCTTATTCATGGTAAAATGTGGTCTTTTAATGCAAGGTTTTGGTTTGTCTTCTAAAACAGTTACACATAAACATGCAGACAATGTCTCATCTGAGCATTAATACTCTGGTACTCAAGTAAAGTGATATTTTGTGTGTGTGTGTGTGTGTGTGTGTGTGTGTGGTTTTCCTGTTTGAAGTGCCTATGACAGTGTAAAAATATGTCACAACCCACCAGAGAGACATTATTATAGCATGACATAAAAAGTACATGGTGCTTGCCTTAGAGCTGGCATGAAGGGATCTGATGGGTATTTGGGAGGCCTGCAAATTTTTGGACTAATTTTGGAGGATTGCACAGGTGTGTAGGAGTTACAACTGGTGAAATCTTTACTACAGTGCCTAGAAGAAAGGGTCCCCAAAGCTGCCTATTCCCACAACTAGCGTAGGCTCTTCTTTTGGGGGAAAATGATTTGTCTACAGCAAAAATAACCAGGGAGTGAACTCACATACAGGCTGTGTATCTGGTGAGGGGACCAAGACCTGAGTGGGAAGAAAGCATGAATTTATACTCAGACTTTTGAAACATGTCGATCAAAAAATTGGGGTGCAAAAAAAGATGTTAATGATGTGGTACCAAAGGTGCCCCCCCGCAGGTGGAGGCTGAGGTATTAGAGGATGTTAAAGGCCATGAGCTGACAGAATCAATGCTTGCCTGAAGGAAGAGGATTATGGCTGAGCCATCATCTCCTATTTACCCTTGGACCTTATAAAAATAAACTGCTAAATGCTGTAAATAACATGTTCAATCTAGAATAGCTTTATTTTAGTTGTGAATAACCTAGGTCAGGTCAGGAATTCATCAGACAGAGACAGTCTCCTCAGACAGAGAGTGCAACCTCAGTCCTGCTGGATATAGAATCCTGGAAGTGTTTAGGTTGGAAAAGACCTCACAAATCATCAAGTCAAACAGTTCACCCCACACTGATTCATTCAACACATCCACATGTTCTTTAAACACTTTCAAAGATGGTGAGCCCATGACTTTCCTTGTCAGTTTGCTCTGATGCCTGAGTAATTTTTTTCTAGCATCTAATCTAAACCTTCCTTGTTGGAGAGGCTCCATATGGAAAATTTGGTCCAAAATTTCCATGAACTGAGCCATGAAACAATACGAATCTAAGCTGCTTCTAATGGTGAGACACGAATCTCTCTGAGAACTCTGCTTTACAAGGTGAAAACAGGAACAAGATGTGTTTTACCATGACCTGAACAGAAATCTCAATATCTTCTGACTTCCCAAAATCAAGGTTGCAGTCAAGCACTCAGGGCTCCTTATCTGCATCATATTTCCATTCATTATGCTCCATTCTTTTCTTCCCCCCATAAAACGGGACAAAAGAAAACTAAAACCTGGCAATGACAAAATGCTTCCTGGCATCTGGAAAAGTCCCCATCAGTTCAGAGAGCATCCCTGCTGGCTGAGGGAAAACGGAGGCGTTTGCAGGCTGAGTGTTTGTGGCAGGGATGTTTTCCTTCCCCTTGCCTAGATTCAGCTGATTAGATCAGAGCACAAACAGAAGAAAGGCAGCACATATAAACTGACCTTGTCATCCTAAGTGGTTGTGGCATTTCCAGGAATGCTCACCCCACTCCAGCTCTTCATTTCTAGCTGCTTTCGCTTTGTCTCACAAAAGGTTTCTGCAACAGTAAACAAACAAAGAAACAAATAAATCCCGTGGGAAAACCTCCTTCAATAACCACGCCACTCTCCAACTCTTCTGTTCTCATCACTGCCTTCTTTTAACCAACAAATAAATATTTCACTGCCTGGTGGAACTGTTCCTAGTTGATGTAAAAAAGGCCATGATCATGAAGTTGTTACAGCTTATGACCCTGAACCCAAACCCACAGCAAGTCAGAAGGCAGAGCTGAGGTCACAGATCACACGAAAGTGGATGCCAGGCTCTGCAGGAAGAATCTGCATCAGGTTATCTTTAATGGAATTAAATATTGGATATTTTGTCCCAAGATGGGAAAACTTGTTTATATGGACAAAATAAAGTCAGAGCAGCTAGTTCTGGTCACCTTTGCAGTTGTTGCCTGTTTTCAGGGAATTAAGCCATTCCCTAGCATCCCACTTTGTCTACTTTTCAAATGAGCATCTGAAATAACAAAGATGTAGGATTTTTAAAATGTATCTCCTCTGTGACTCCTACAGAGCACACTGACACAGATATAATTCCCAAGTTTTACTGGAAACACTAATTTCATTTCTATTTTTCCTCAAGCAGCCAAAAATTTATATTTTGTGTCTCTGTTCTTCCAGGAAAGCAATCTGAGTGCCACAACTTTAATTTTTGGTGCCATTTGAAATGTATCCTGCCTGACTTCCATTTGCAGACTCAAACTCAACACAGCACTGTTGTTACCATGCTCTTGTCTACTCAGAGATACCAAGGGCTTTTAAATTGCCTCTAGACATTTCTGTGTAGGCACCTGAATTCTGCCCCAGATATGGATGAAGTTTCTTGGAACCCTCAGCTAGCTCTGAGGAACTCTCTTCAGGTTAACATAAAACAAAACCAAACAAATCCAAACAAAACACCCTAAAGCAAAGAAACAAGCAACAGTAAGACATGGATAGGCTGGAGAGAGAGAGACTATCTTTGCAGCCATTCAGAAAAAGCAATGTTTGGTTAATTAGAATGTGAAGAGTGTGTGAAACAGTCTGCAAGCCCATCCACAACCCCATTCACAAGTTTGGGTTAACCTCTGTGCCCTCATCTACGCTTAAGAAACCAAAATGAAGGTTTGATGCAAACTGCCCAGAGAAAGAGTGCAAATACATTCAGCACCTCAGTCCAGACACAAATTCTTGTTCAAATGA